ATTCGAACTAGTAAGTTCGTACTAGGCTTAGTCCTCGTACAATGAGGTTTACCTAGTTCGAACTAAGCGCTCCGCTAGTTCGAATTAAGTTCGAACTAGCGGAGCGCTAGTGTAGCGCCTATGAAAGTTAATTCGAACTAACATCCGTTAGTTCGAATTAACTTTGTAGTGTAGACATACCCAAAGGCTTCAGTGAGACCAGGCCGTAAGGAGGGATTTGGGCATTTCTTCCAGGAACACAGGGTCTGGCCCAGCCTGCAAAGCAATTCCCCAGAGAGGGGAAGGTAGGAACAAACAAATCTCCCCACCTTTGTATTCCTGCAGGGTAACGCAGGACCACTACCAGCCGTCTTTTGGGGCGGGCAAGGGAAAGGTGCTGAGCTGTTGCTTCAAGCTGGCCTGCAGGAGTCAGGAAGGGATGTTATCTACACTATACGTACAGTATGATGGGGGCTAATTTGGCTACGACAAATCAGGAAAGATCTTGGAGTTATCATGGACAGTTCTCTGAAAACTTCTACACATTGTGTGCTGTGGCAGTCAAAAAGGCAAATAGGATGTTAGGAATTATTAAGAAAGGGATAGAAAAGACGACAAATAATATCTTACTGCCCCTATATAAAACTATGGTACGCTCACATCTTGAATACTGTGTACAGATGTGGTCTCCTCACCTCAAAAAAGATATTTTGGCCTTGGAAAGGGTTCAGAAAAGGGAAACTAAAATGATTAGGAGTTTGGAACGGGTCCCATATGAAGAGAGGCTAAAGCGACTGGGACTTTTCAGTTTAGAAAAGAGGAGACTGAGACCAGGTCTATAAAATCATGAGTGGTGTGGAGAGGGTGAATAAAGAAAAGTTATTTATTAGTTCCCATAATAGAAGAACTAGAGGACACCAAATGAAATTAATGGGGAGCAGGTTTAAAATTAATAAAAGAAAATTCTTCTTCACACAGCGCACAGTCAACCTGTGGAACTCCTCACCAGAGGAGGCTGTGAAGGCTAGGACTATAACAGTTTAAAGAGAAACTAGATAATTTCATGGAGGTTAGGTCCATAAAGGGCTAATAGCTGGGGGGTAGGAATGGTGTCCCTGGCCTCTGTTTGTCAGAAGCTGGAGAGGGATGGCAGGAGACAAATCACTTGATCATTGTCTTTGGTCCACCCTCTCTGGGGCACCTGGTGCTGGCCACTGGGTTAGATGGACCTATGGTCTGACCCAGTATGGCCATTCTTATGTTCTTATCTCTTAGTAGAAGTGGGGCTAGATAGATTCATGGATGTTAGGTCCATCAATGGCTGTTAGCCAGGACGGGTAGGAATGATGTCCCCAGCCTCTGTTTGTCTGGAGGTGGGTGCCAGGGGAAGGATCACGTGAGGATTACCTGTTGTGTTCCCTCCCCCTGGGGCTCCTGGCATTGGCCGCTGTGGGCAGACAGGACACTGGGCTAGATGGGCCTTTGGTCTGACTGTTCTGATGTTGGTCTCCAATTTTTTCAACAGTTGATGTGACTAGGGCTTGGGCACCAGGACCGAGCTTTGGCGCAGCCCAAGCACTCCTGAAAGGAGCCATCACCAGCAAGGCGATCAAGTGGAGGGGCTTGCTGAGAATGTCAAATGCCAAACGGACTGGTGGGTGGCTGGATCAGCTGGCCTAGTGGGAGGACAAAAGGGAGAGAAGAGCAGGAGCTCTCGACACCGAGTGGAGCCTTCATGAGAGGGGAGCACCAGCCTCTCTCTACCCCACCCTGGCTCTGGGTTAGTCCTCAGCCCCTTCTCAGTGGCATCTCTCCTCTCGGTCGGTCACTTCCGGCCAGCTGGCGCCGTCATACACTCGAACCCTCGGTCTGCAGGAAGCAGCGTGGGTCAGGCCTGCGGAGCAACTTCCGTCTGCAGGAGGTATGTGACGCAGGCAGCATACGGGTTGGAAGGGAGCATGCGGCGGAGGAGATCACTGCATGCAGCTTCACACTGACTGTATTGGCATGGGACCAGGCAACAATGACAGAGCATTCGGAACAACTCTGCTCTGATGGGAGCGTGCAGTGCAGTGACTTGCAGACCGTCTGCCTGCAGAGGGGATCTGGCCAGGGGCAGAAGCCCTGGCTACTAGAAATACAGGCCTGGGTTTGCTTTTGTTTTGTTTTTACTATAAATGGCTCCAGTCATTCGGGAGGGAGCCGACTAAAGGGAATGTCTTTCTCGGGACAGAACGCCGTGCAGGCCAAGCAGAATGAACTCAGGACTTCTTGGATTCTTGGATCTTCTGGATTTCCTGCAAGCAGACGAAGAAAACAATTGACGGCATGTTGCTCTCTGCAAATAAACCCATTACCTCGACTGTAGGTCATGATGATCCTTTAGTCCAGTGTTTCCCAACCAATCGTATGAGTACCCTTAAAGGTACTTGACTGACGTCTGGGGGATACGTCAACACAACTGAAATTTGGAGAAAACGGAATTTTTCTTTTAAGTTTTACGTTTTATTATTTTTGTACTTTTTACACCCAAAAATTTCATCATCCACCTGGCTACCATTAAGTTGTTTAAACAAATGTGTTGCAATGGTAGAAAAAAAATGTTGCATGTCTGAAAACCTTAGGTACTTGGGGGACTTATAATTTTTTTTTAAAGGGGGTGTTGATATTTTTTTTAAAGGGGTACTTTTTTTTTTTTTTTTTTAATAAAAGGCTGAGAAACACTGCTCTAGCCTGACCTCTGGCATGGAACAGGCCATAATGTTTCACCAAGTAACCCTGCATCGAGCCCTCATTTGACGGTGGAGAGGGACTATGCCTTTCAGAAAAACACCCAGCCTTGATTTAGAGCGACTTGGCATCATCCCACACAGTCGCTGGCCAGTTGTCCCAAGGGGTCCCGCCCTTGGGGTTAAAAACGTGCGCTTTGCCTCCTCTCCCAATTTGTCAAGCTTCAGCTTCCAGCCACAAAATCTCATTCCGCCCTTGTCTGTTAGGTTAAAAAGTCAGGGGCTCTCTGACACCTTCTCCCATGTAGGTATTTACAAGCCACAATCCAATCGCCTCCCTGGTAAAGTCAGGAGACTGACAGTCTCAAAGCTCTCACTGCGTGGCAGATCTTTTGGACTCTGCATCATTCTTTTCGGTCTATTCTGAACCTTTTCAAATTCTTCAGCACCGTGGGTGCAGTGTGGGCAGCGGACCGGATACAGAACTCCGGCAGCAGCCTCACTCACGCCAGACAGAGGGAATCCCACGGCCCCGCTCATATATCCATGGATCCCATCAGCCCCCTTAACCACAACAGCGCTTTGGGAGCTTGGGTTGAGCTAGGTACCCACCAGGGACCTTATGCCTTTGGCAGAGGCCCTGCTGCCCAGCCTACATGCCAAGCTTCAAGGTCTGCTCATGTTCAGCCATCAGCTAGAACAGCTTGGACAGCAGCAGCCCAGAAAGATCGCGAGGTCAACAGCTTTGGGGGTCTATAGGCCACTGCATTTACTGATTATACTCCGGCCAATATCAGTGTGCTTGGCCCAGTCCCAACCGACAAAAGACACGGTCTCTGCTCTGGATAAAACTTCTGCAAATAATGGCCCCTGGCCAGGAAAATACCCCTGCATACCAGAAGTGCCTCCTTAAGGCCAGGGGTCAGCCAGGTACTTGAGCACATGCATGGGAGTGTATCCCATGTAGGCCAATGGGACTACTCAGACATAAAGAGTTTGTGCGCTTAGCTGTCGTACTGAATGAGGGCCGTGCCCTTCTCTGGGAAACGCAATGTTTGTCAAGCATTTCCTTCGGATACTCTAACAAGTGACTCGCCATTTGCAAAGGCTTTCAGGGATTTGGGCTTGTTTAGTCTGTGGAAGGGAAGAGTGAAGGGGGATTTGAGAGCAGCCGTCAACTCCCTGAAGTGGGGTTCCAAAGAGGATGGAGAGAGGCTGTTCTCAGTGGTAGTAGATGGCAGAATGAGGAGCAATGGGCTCAAGTTGCAGTGGGGGAGATCTACGTTGGATATTAAGAAAACTATTTCCCTAGGAGGGTGGGGAAGCTGGGATGGGTTCCCTAAGGAGGTGGAATTTCCACCCCTAGAGGTTTTGAAGTCCCATCTTGCCAAAGCCCTGGCTGGGATGATTGAGTTGGGGTTGGTCCTGCTCTGGGCAGGGGGCTGGACTCTATGGTTCCCGAAGTCTCTGCCCACCCTGGGATTCTACCGAAGGCAGCAGAGGTCCTGCTCTGGGCAGGGGGCTGGACTCGATGGTTCCCGAAGTCTCTGCCCGCCCTGGGATTCTACCGAAGGCAACAGAATCCGGAATGACTTACCTCTGCAAGAATCTCCTTCAGTTCAGAATAGGCTTTTTCTAGATCATTATTGATGATGATCAGGTCGAAAAGGCCAGGCTCGTTACCTAGTGAATTGGAGCAGGAATTAGACTCAGAAAAGACCACTAGCTTAGGACATGGGAGAACTGGATTCAAATCCCGGTTCTGCCACAGACTCATAGGATGGGACTGGGGTAACCGTCCCAAGGCCTGTGATTCGGGGGGAGGGACCCCCCCTCACGCGTCCAGGGGAGCCTGGAGGGCAAGCAGGGGGCAAGGTGCTGGCAGTAGCGAATGACCCGGCCCTAGCCCACTTCACCAGCTCCCGACATCGCTCAGGGGAGGGGGCAGAAGCCAGAAAAAGGCGAGGCCAAGGCTTCGGGGAAAGGGCAGGAAAAGGCTGGAGGCTTGGGGGAAGGGGCGGAGCAGGAGTGGGGGTGGGAGTTGTCCCAGACCTCACCGACTTCTAAGGACAGTGCTGCCTGAGTGAACGTATTGATCCAGGAGCCCTAGCCATGCACTGGGACCCCATCGTACTAGGTGCTGTACAACAGAACACACGCACACACACAAACCCCGCTGTCCACTTGTGCAAGCCATTCACCTCTCTAGGCCTGAGTTCTCCCATCAGTCACAGGGGAAGGCATCTCTTCCCCGCCTCACAGGGGTGTTGGGAGGGTCTAGACATTAAAGAGTGTGAGGCACTCAGACACTACCCTGAGGAGGGGGCCGCAAAATGACCTAAGGCAGAAATAAGGGAAGGGTTACCAAGTGAAAAGACCTTTCCGGCATAATGAATGAGAACGCTGCGATGTAACACTGTGCTCTCCCTGTGCCCCCCAGCCACCTCGGCGGGGGTTTAATAGCTGCGAGGTATTGTTACGGAGCAGCTCGTACTGTGAAAATCCCACCAAGACAGGCCTCCTCGCACACCCTGAAGCACGAAGAACGGTTTAATGGTGAACAGCACAGCATGGGTCCTAGTATCTCTGAGCATCTTTGAGACTGACCTGTCCCCTCCCCTCGTGCCTACAACTGGGGGCAGGGAGGGGGTCACAGGAGATGGGAAGAAACGGACAGAAGGCGTGAGGGGAGGTGGGAAGGGACCAGAAGGTTCTACCCCCTTGCAAGGGGGCAGAGGATCCACCAGGGGATGTGCTGTGCCAGGGGGTGAGGGAAGGGAGTCAGAGGAGAAGATTTTCACTGTTAGTGCCCCATGAACAACGGAAGCTGAGGTGTTCTCCTCAGAAACACGCTCCGTGCCCGGGAGGTCTTTTCAGCGGTGATTGCCACACTAGTTTTAGTGGTGACACCGCCCGGCTCCTCCTCATCAGTCCAGGGCAGCAAAGCCCCCTCTTCCCCTCCAGTTCGCTCCCAGGCGCCAAAGCGTCGTGGTCAGTTCGCCTAGCTGGATCATCTGTACACCCGAGATAGGGAGTTCGACCGGGTGCCACACACTCCGAGGCGCTCTCCCTCCCCTCTGCCCCCAAGCTGCCTGCGGGTTACACGTCTGCCAGCCTCCTGCACTCACTCAGCTCCATGTCGATGCGAGCTGCGTTCAGCCGCTTCAGTAGGCTCTCCTCAGACTCCGTCTGTCTGTCACGCAGCCTCTTCTCCTAGGTCACAAAGACAACATGCGTCAATGCACTTTCCAAGCACCGTTCGGAAGAGAACAGTCAGCCCCGTTCCCCGGAGTGCACTGCTGCCTCACAACCATGCTCCAAGTCACAGTCGGCATGTTCACGGCCAGAAAGAGCCACCACAGCCTGACTTCCTGTGGCCATCAACGCCTCCCACCGCCTGAACACCAAACCCAACCAGCACAATGAGACCAGAGAGTTACAGCCCACAGGCGGCGAGTCTATTACGTGCCACAGGGAGTTACTGCAAACACCCTTGACCCGGGCACATGGCTGGTTCTGGAGGCAGGTGACGTCCTTCTGGCCAGAAGGAAGAGATCACGGGCCGGCTGTGAGCTCAGGCCTGGGTCAATAAAGTCTCACGCACGCCATGCGGAGGAAGGAAGCTGAACTCCCTGCAGCAGACTGCCTTGCCAGAGCACACGGTGCCAGCCTCAGTCCAACGCGGGATTTGATCTCAGGGGCTCCTGGCTTCCAGCCCTGAGCTCAGGCCACTGGGCTACACTGCTGCTTGCAGCGCAGCCACCAACCCAATTGCTGTAGGGGTATAAATGGCAGCTGCCAGACACCACTTTGGAGCTGCAGGTCTCGGCCTGGCCTGGCTCCTTCAGGAGAAACGCCGCTCACCTCGTGGACTCCAGATAACACCACAGAAGGAGCAAAGTGGGAGACGGAGGCTCTTGGGGGAGAGTCGCTGGCCCGGCTTGGGACTCAGCAGATCTGGGTTCTGTTTCTGCCTCTGCTACAGACTCCCTCCGTGACCTTGGGTGAGTCATTTTCACCCCTCCATGTGTCTCGGTTCCCCACCGCTAACACTGAGGTGACACCACTTCTCAACCTCTCAGGGATGTGGTGGGGACAAATTCTTCAATGTATGAGGCCATATGGTCTTACCCCATGATACCAGCCTCTCTAGACTTAGCTGTAGTAATGGATACTGAAGGGCTCATAACCCCAGAGAGCATCACAAACACACACCAAGCTTTGCTGCGTGCGTACTGAAGCCGGCCATGCCCTCGGAGCTTGCAAAGGAACACGAACAGAGCTCTAAGCACAAGGGCAAACACGCAACGGGGGAGATTGCAGCATGGGGAGGATCTCGGAGAGGCAAGGGAAGGAGCATGGGAGATGGCACCTTTGAAAGGAAAGGATGAATGTGCACAGAGCCCAGAGGAGGAGTATGTGACAAAGGGAGCAGGTCGGAGAGAGGCCAGGCAGAAGTTGGATCAAAACCTGCTACCTGGGTTGTAGGTTCTACAGCAAAATGGATCAGGAGGCAGAAAATTCTCATGGCCTCGCTGAACTCGCCCATTAATTGGATTGTCTTGTAGGACTGCTGGGCAGAGACGAAGGCAGCTCCCGCCTGGTAAGGACAGGGTAAGGAGGCAGGAAGGAGGCTCACTCACCAAGACTTCTATGGAGGGAACTTGGACAGAGATGTAGATTGGGTTCAGGTCCGTTTTCTTAATGTTCTTGACGCCCTGCAAGTCGATATCTAGGATGCAGATCTGGTTCCGTGCCTGCACGGCCTGGACTGCAGCTTTACTGGCGGGGGGGAGAAAAGAAGAAGCTAGTTACTGGACACGTTGGGGTAGGGATGCTGTGCAGGGAACCTCAGGGAACGCTCTCGATCTAGGCTGCCCTCTGCTGTTCTCCTTTGTGCCGATATTTCCCAGCACCCCTCAGGATGTCTCTCCCATGGTCACAAGGAGGAGTGAATGAACTAGAAATGGAAATTTCAGAACTGGAGGTAGAGTGGCCTAGTGGATAGGGCACTATATGAGGGACTCAGGACACCTGGGTTCAATTCCTAGGGCCGAGCTTGCTTGGAGACCTTGGGCAAGTCTCTGCCTCAGTTTCCCCAGCTGTGCAATTGGGATAATGCCTTGCCTTATCTGCCTCAGTTTCCCCAGCTGTGCAATTGGGATAATGCCTTGGCTCTGAAGACAGATGGGCTCTGTAAGGACCAGGGGTTATGATGTGTACACATCCCATTAATACCTGCCTCTCCCCTCATAGGAAACTGCAGCAGTTCTCTGCTGAGGGACCTGATCACAGCTCCTTGAATTCAGTAGGAGGGGGCGGTTAACAGGACGGTCTCAGGGATTGGCCCCCAACTCTAGATTTCCTCCACCCCCTTTTCCAAGACCGCCCACATAGGCTGGCTTGCAGAGCAAGCGGAAAGGCCTTGTTAGTCTCACAGCTCCGCCCTGAAGGCGAGGGCAGAGGGAACAGATTGTTCACCAGGGTCTGGCAAGGAGGGAGGTGCTTTATGGTGGACACGGAAGAATTATATTTTGGGAGCTGAGACCATGGAATCCGACAGTCTTAAAAAATGCCAAGCACATCAGACGAGGCCCAACTGCTAAACCGAGATACACGTAAGCGTGTGTACAGACACGGCATTGCTTTCCGCCGAGGTAGCCACAGAGCAGCTCCGCTACAGTGGGGCAGAGACATCATTCCTTTGGAGAGGATCCAACACCGGCAGGCCTACCAAGGTTGCACATGATCCAATGGGTGGAAGCGGAAGCTAAACACATTCCGACGGGACGTAAGGCGCACATTCTTAACCGCGAAAGGAATGAACCGTTGGCTGCATTCGCCGCAAGTCACTGAGCCTTGCTCAGCATTGACCAAGTTTCAATCAAGAAGGGGTGTTTTTCAAAAAGCTCTGCTCTAGGAATTCTTTTGGGGGCAGTTCTCTGGCCAGGGTAATACAGCGGATCACATTGGTCCTCTTCTGGCCCTAGAGTAAATGAATCACAGATGCTTGGTCCAAGAAGAAGAAACCACTGTAGCAGGTTACTTTTCTGTACGGGACCACAAATTTCCCCACTAAAAAATTCCCTCAGAGAGGGCTCTCTCCTTCACCAGGTTTGCCAGTCTAGGATGATACTTTGTTAAAATGCTGCATATTAAAATAACCTTCCCTGGACTGGCACAGAGAATCGTATGCTTCCCCCACTGTGCGCTGTCCGATGTGCCTGGACCTTCCCTCCAAATCTTATAAGCCTCTCAGAACAAACCAAGAGCTAAAGAGCAGTGACTTGAATTCTGTGACGAGACACAGTCATCTGAAAGTGGTAATAAATGGGCATTAGCTCGGCGGGACAGGGGCCATCTCGTTCTGTGTTTGTACAGCACCCAGCCGAAGCGCCGAGGCATGAAAGTACGAAAATAATGAAGAATGAGGGGGGAGACCTGAGATGTTCTGAGGTGGCTTCAGAGGGTTTAAGCTAGTTATGCCAACAGGCCGCATGGTGGCCACAGAGGATAGAGAAAGAGCAGCTCTTCAGAGCCATCTCATGCAGAGGGTAAGCGAGAGAACCTCTCCTGAGCTTTCACCTCACCCCACCCTGATCCCTGGCCCGCCCCACAGCTGCTCACAGCAAGGCTGGGCTGGAAGGAACCTCAAGAGGTCAGCTAGCCCAGCCCTCTCTCATGACAAGCGGAGTGAGGATTATCCTATGCTCTGCCAATATGGGGGCAGTGGTTCTAGCGTGGGACCAAGCGCTCCTTTTGCCGGTCAGCACAGCAAGCCCTTCCCACGCCACCATCACCAGCCCCAACAGGACGGGGGCTAAATGCAGCCGCTCGTCTCCAGAGCTGTCAGAGCAGGGGAAGTGTACTCCTGTCCCCTGCTGTCTGTTTGCTGTGCTGCTCTGCCTGGGCGCATGCTTCGGAGGTGAATGGCCGTACTACCCCTTACCTGGGCTACCAGCCCATGTGCCCACTCCTCCTAGCAGTGACTCTGTGCTTCCTTCCCTGCGGCCCCTTCCCCACAGGACACCTCCCTGAACTGCTCTGCTCAGGCCCTACCGCCTTCTCTGCCAAGCTGCCCACACCGCCTGCAGGAGAGCAGCCAGTCAGATGGTGGTGCCCTGGCTGCCCACAGCAGGACGGCTGAGGTGAGCTCCTGCCAGCCAGGTGCGGGGCATGAGCCTCTGCTCTTCCCTAGTGAGGCCTGTTTCCTGAGCGGTGCCCCCCTCTTCCCAGGACATCATGGTGGAAGCAAGGCCTCCGATTCCAACTGAGGCAGCGAAGTCCCCTGGGGCCGTGGTTCCCACCTGGTTCGGATTGGTGGACACCCCTCCCCCCGTAACTGGGATTCTCCACTGGTGTTCCCTCTAAGCTGCAGGGCAGCCCAGCTTCCCGGGGGATTCATCCACCCCTCCCAGTCTGCCAGCTCCCTGCAGGACAGATGAATCACCTGGGCTGCCCCACGGCTTAGCAGGAACCCTGCTCTCCATCCCAGTGTTCCCGAACAACCAGTGGGCTTGCATTGGCTAGAGCGCCGGCATGGAACTCAGAAGTGCTGGTTCCATACGGGGCTCTGACGCTGGCCTGCCGGGCCAGCAAGTTATCACCCTCCTTGTGCCTCAGTTTCCCCATCACTAAAATGGGGGCAACGATTCTCCTCTTGGGAATGCTCTGAGCTGCGCGGAAGAAGAGTGCTATGCAAGAGCCCGTCTCTGAAAACCACCATTGTCTCTCTTCCTCTGGATCCCATCTCCTCTCCGCCGTCTCGTTTTACATGTGTGTTATTTTCCCCCATTCTTACTTTGGTCCTTTACCTAGTTCATTTCTCCCACTAACTCCCACCCAATTCTCTCCCCCACCTCTCCTCTTTCCACTTCCCCTTTCTCCCAGCTGCTGGCATGTTGCAGTGATCGCTGCCTCAGGCCACAAAGAGGGAGGGAGCCGCAGTAGAGTGCTCCCCCTACGCTTAACCCTGGAGGACGAACCCCATCCGAGGCTGAAGGAGCCCTGGGATGGTGGACTGGCTGGGGAATGGGGAAAAGGAGGGAGAATGAACTGGTTGCCCTTTTAACAGGTCTGCCAGGATTGCTGCCACGACTCCAGATGACCCATCTCACCTCCAAGAGTCTGCTCTCAAGCTGCACGTTCTGATCACAGACAACCGGGGAGGAAGAACGGCCTGGAGGGGAGAGGGCTAGGCAGGGACTTGCAAAATTCCCTGCTGCAACGCAGACTTCTTGCGTGACCGTAGGCATGTCCCTGGTCCCTCCGAGCCTCAGTTTCCTGCCTGCCAACAGGGCTGACGGCCTTTCGGCTGCGAGGCTGAGGCCATGGAAGATGGTGAGGTGCTCAGAGGCTCTAGTGACGGGGGCCAGATGAGTCCCCGGGATAGCTGGAAAAGGGAACGCTCCCCTTTCCCGAGCTGTGTTACGAACATGCAGCAGAAGCTGGAGTTGGGAACAGATTTCACCAGATCTCTCCTGCTGCAGCAGGTGCCGGGAGTTCCAGCTTTCAGAGTTATTCTTGGGCTTTGCGCATTAATCCCGCCCTAAAGCCGTTAAACCCACCTTGTCATCACAGCTGCACATGACGACACGGAGATTTACCGGCTCGCCTTGCCGCGCCGATCTCTCCGACTGGGCAGCAGCTCTTTGCACCCCTTGCCCCGTCTGGGACTAGAGTGACAGCGTCAGCTGTTTTCTCTCCTCTGGCCATGAAAACCGCTCCAGCGCTAACCGTGCAAAGACGCCGCCCCTGCCTACCAACCTCCGATGTAAGCGCATGAAACGCCCCAGGTGTTAACAGTGATTTTGCACACCCCCCGCAGTAGTGGCATGCGCGCACGCAGCAACGATCCTGGTCGAGGGTCTCCCCAAACCACTGAGTTTGGAGGCATCACAAAGATGCACAGGGAGCAGGTGCTCAGCATTGCCTGGGAAAGAGGCTCCTTGAAGTGGTCTCTAATTAAGCATCCAAGACCTAGGGGTGTAAAATCCCATTTAACTAGATAACCAGGTAAACAAAGTCTGACTGGTTAGCTGCTTACATGGGGGCAGATGGGAGGGGCGTAAAGTTTGATCCGTTAGTTGATTACATTGGGCTGGGTGGGGGCTATTCCAGCCTGCTGGGCTGGAGCAGGGTCCCCACCCACCACAACTTACAGGAGAGGGCTGCTAGCTCCCAGTCCACAGGGGCTCGCAGGCTGGGAGTCAGCTGCTTCTCATGGAACAGAAGGGAGCTGGCAGCCCTCCCGCCCCACCGTGCGAGGCTGCCGACTGCCAGGCCTCACGGACTGCAACAGCCGGGCAATGGCGAACTGTGACTCCGTAAGCATCACATCTCTACCAAAACCATCAGTCTGGAAAATCTTAGCTCGAGGGGACAGAGAAGCGGTGTTGGGGGGGAAAGTTTGTTTTTCAGACGGTTGGCACCTTATTCAGTAAGCGAATTTCTCTTTGGTTCAGGTCTGATCTCTTTCCCATCACCAGAACCTGTTGGGGGATGCATGCTGGCCATCAGTCATGAAAGGGTTAGATCCCCCAGACATGGTCTGAAATCCTGGTTTCCTCTAGAGCTGTTTTCTTCTCATTCCCTTGGTTAACGGCTCCCCTCCCGGCCAGCATGGCGTGTGCACTGACTGGCTGCGGCTTGGAAAAGGCAGCATTATGGCTTTGGGACGAAAGGCGTTCTGGAAACGTACAGCGCTGTACGGAGAATGCCCTCGGCCTGTTTCAAGGCATTTGCTAATCACCAGGGGGGCAGGAAGACATCTGTGTCCACACCACAGCATTGGCTGTTGCTGGAGACCAACTAATGAATCGCCTAGTCTGGCAGCCTCCCTGCACTGTGCAACCCTTGCATCTACAAGGCAGCAGTAGAAACGAACCTACAAGTATCTGGAAAACAAAGCCGCGGTCTTTAGATTGTGCATACCTCTCCTAATGCATACACCTGGGCAAAGCAGAGGATAGAGAGCGTGGCAATTATCTGGGGTGAAACTGGGAAGAGTACAAGTCAGACCCTGCACAAGAAGCGAAGTGGATGAAATCAGAGTTGCACGCGCTGACTCCAGACTTGAAGTTGACCCTAGGTCCACACAGAAACCAGAGCTGTTCCGGAAGGGACGGGAACAAGTCTCTGTCTATACACAGGTTGCCACTAGGGGGGTTGAATTCTCCACCAACGTTAGAGGGAGGCAACGGAAGCGCCCTACAGAGGGAACAAGTCTCTGTCTATACACAGGTTGCCACTAGGGGGTTTGAATTCTCCACCAACATTAGAGGGAGGCAACAGAAGCGCCCTACAGGAGGTGGCCATTTTATTGCTACGTGCAGGTTTCACAAGCCCTGTCCTGAGTCACGTTGAAGGTTGTTGGCTGGAACGGCTCAACCCAGCTGTGAGCAGCCCCATTCTCCATTAGTAGTTCCTGGTGTTGTCTCACTCGGACAGCAGACGCGTGCTGCGTGTTTGTCCAGCGCCTAGCACAATGGGGTCCTGATCTGGATTGGTGAACCCCTGGTCTGAAACTACAGAGGACATGGAAATGGGAACACAGCCAGAGACTGTGCTCAACACCACTAACCATAGAAAAATGCCTTGAGGTCGCTAAGCGCCACAAACGGAAGTGGCCTCCGTTCTGTTCCACCCAGAGGATGGTACCTGTAAAAGGACAGCAGCTCTATCACTGGACCGGGGCTCGAACTCAGAAGGGAATAGCCCCAGTTAGTGACTGCCCAACACCTGGCCACAGGATTCTTGCAGGAAAGTTCTGAGAGTCCCACTCAGATAGTGTGGGAGAGCCAAGCGGGACGGCAGAACACACAGCACAGTCTCTTCCCAACCCCACCCCTCCGTGGCAACAGAGCTCCGGTTTTACTGGCTTCGCCTGCTCTTCTTGCCCACCCCAGTTCCACTCACTTGCTTCACTGTTCTCCTCCTCCGCCCCATTACAGCAGATGAGTCAGAAAAGAGTTAACCTGACAGACGAGCACAAATTCCCCTCTGCTTTTCTCTCCGCCGTGGCATTTGTCTTTTAATCTCTATTTGCTAAGTCATGCAATGAGCAGACAGGGTCCTAAAACTTCACACTAACACCTGAATGTCACGTCTTCGTCCGGCTCATGCCCAAAGCCTCCCCGGTTGAGGAATGTGTTACACTCCTGGCTCATGCCCAAAGCCTCCCCGGTTGAGGAATGTGTGTTATACTCCCCTGACCAAGCAGCAGGCATGGGGCTGATAAGCTAAACTGACCCCCCGAGAGGTATGCCGCAGGAGGGGCTGCCCAGGTGAGTTAAATGGAACATCTTGTTCCAAGGCAAACTCCCTCAGCAGACTAAATCCCATGGGTTTAAGAGGCTTGAATCTGGTTTCTCCTGTAAGGCCTCGAACTGCTGAGATCAAAGGTCCTCCTGCGCAAGCCAATGACATCGCAAAGCAGGAAGCTGCCTCCTCCTTCTGTGACCTCAGGGAACTCATGTCTAATCCTGCACAAGCCACACAGACACTTGAAGTGTAGGCAGGTGTCATGTCTAATCCTGCACAAGCCACACAGGCACTTGAAGCATAGGCCGGTGCTGTAAAGGGAGGGGAAGTTACTTTCAATCTATTTTGTTTTAAACTAGATGGGTCTGTAATGTGGTGTTTTGGCAGTGCAGTCTGACCAGCCAGAAACATAGGGCTACATTTTTACAGGGATATGCGAGTTTGGTTGTCCCCATTTTTGAGACGCCTTACAGAGGCCTGGTTTTCAGAACATACCAAGTACCCAGCCTCGAAACATCAGGTCTCTTCAAGCTCTCAAGTTTGGCTCCCTAAATCAGTAGTCACATTAAAGTCCATCAGCTCTCCCTTAAAAGGTATTTGTAATTTTAAAATCATCTAATCATAACACAGATTTGATGTCTTAGAAAAGAACTGAACTTATTTCACTTTTGCCATTTGTATCCAACCTGTGCTGGTACTAATTGTCAGAGAGATTGTATGATGTAAGATATCTTTCTTTTAATGAACACTGCAGTGTTAATCAGGGTTTCACTTTTCTGCCAGTCGCAATGCTATTTTAAAATCCATCTTGCACTAACAAAGGAAGTTTTTCTTCATGAAGCACACAGTCAACCTGTGGAACTCCTTGCCAGAGGATGTTGTGAAGACCAGGACTTTAACAGGGTTCAAAAAAGAACTAGATAAATTAATGGAGGATGGGTCCATCAATGGCTATTGGCCAGGATGGGGAGGGATGGTGTCCCTAGCCTCTGTTTATCTGGAAATGAATGACAGGAGAGGGATCATGTGAGGATTCTCTGTTGTGTTCACCTCTCTGGGACACCTGGCTTTGGCCACTGTTGGCAGACAGGACACTGGGCTAGATGGACCTTTGGTCGGACCAAGTATGTTTGTCAGAGGCTGGGAATGGATGACAGGGGAGAGACCACATGATTATCTGTTCTGTTCATTCCCTCTGTAGCATCTGGCTTTGGCCACTATCGGCAGACAGGACACTGGGCTAGATGGACCTTTGATCTGACCCAAGTATGGCCATTCTTATGTTCTTAATTGCAGGATGCCAACACTAAAAAGAATGTATTAATTTGTAAGCATTACTGTGCCAGACTGCCATACGTATTACTGGCTTTCACCACTGATCTGATCACATTCAGCTCATTAGACAGTGCAAGGAGTGAATCAAATACCCACCCTGTTTAATCCTTGTAGGGCACTGTAAAGCTGAAGAGCACTGTGGGTGAAATTCACTTCTGGGAAGGGCTGGCCGACACTACGAACCTCCTACGTCCCACTCAAACCTTGGGGTTTACGCAGCAATGTGTGTTGCATATGCCCAATACTGGCCTTCTGCAGAAGGGTGGTTTTCACTAACGACTAGTGACCGAACAAAAGCAATAGCAGACGTGCTGCCCCCTGTAAAGCTGAAGAGCACTGTGGGTGAAATTCACTTCTGGGAAGGGCTGGCCGACACTACGAACCTCCTACGTCCCACTCAAACCTTGGGGTTTACGCAGCAATGTGTGTTGCATATGCCCAATACTGGCCTTCTGCAGAAGGGTGGTTTTCACTAACGACTAGTGACCGAACAAAAGCAATAGCAGACGTGCTGCCCC